TCACCTCCGGGTGGTTCCTCCAGGTGTCACCGCCAGGTATCACCTCCAGGTGGCACCTCCAGGTATCACCTCCAGGTGGCAGCTCCAGGTAGCACCTCCAGGTGGCAGCTCCAGGGGGGACTTCCCGGTGTCAGGTGGCACCTCCAGGTATCACCTCCAGGTGGCAGCTCCAGGTATCACCTCCAGGTGGCAGCTCCAGGTGGTACTTCCAGGTGTCACCTCCAGGTATCACTTTCAGGTGGCACCTCCAGGTATCACTTTCAGGTGGCACCTCCAGGTATCACTTTCAGGTGGCAGCTCCAGGTGGCACCCCCAGGTGTCACTGGGGCCTCAACCAGGTCCCTGCCTCCTCCACGGCCTGAGGCACCACCAGGAAGACCTCGCAGAGCCCCCGGGCCAGGAAATCCTGCAGGAAGGTCCTGCCGGGGGCAGCAGGAGGGGGTGGGGCAGGTTGGGCCTGGAGGGCAGGGAGGTCACCCCGGGGGGGGCAATTCCAGGCACCCCCACCCCAGCCAGGCCTGGGTGTCCCGAGCCCACGGGAACGTGGCCTGAGGAGCCACATCCAGATGTTGCTCCAGGGGTGGTGAGTTCAACACCCTCCTGGGAGGATCAAGTCCAACCACAACCCGACCCAACCAACCATCACCTGACCCAACCAACCATCACCCGACCCAACCAACCATTACCCGACCCAACCAACCATCACCTGACCCAACCAACCATCACCCGACCCAACCAACCATTACCTGACCCAACCAACCATCACCTGACCCAACCAACCATCACCCGACCCAACCAACCATCACCTGATCCAACCAACCACAACCCAACCGAACCAACCATCACCTGACCCAACCAACCATGACCCAACCCAACCAACCATGGCCCAACCCAACCAACCATCACCTGATCCAACCAACCATGACCCAACCCAACCAACCATGACCCAACCCAACCAACCATCACCCGATCCAACCAACCATGTCCCAACCCAACCAACCATCACCTAA